GCCTGTTTCCATCGGAAAATTATATATCCGAGCGCAGGGACCAGGGAACACAAACGAAGTAAGTCAATCTAGTTTTTATTTTATACGAAATTCACCGTACTTATGAATACTAATGCCCACATTTTCACTTTCTCAATCTGTATAGTCCTGTGATTCTTGACTATACAGTGGATACACAGAATTATTTGGAGAAAGTTAGGTGTCTGGACACAAAAATAAAGGACATAAGTTGTAAGCTTGCTCAAGCAAATGCGGCTGTGGACTCAATACGATCCATATTTTCTGAGGGTCAAATAAGAAAAATTATGTCTCCAGGCGAAGTGATATGGATGTGGGAGGACATTACTGGTGCGATATACCTACACGCATCTGGCCAAAGAGCTTATATGCACTTGTACATAAAAGAGTTTCCAAGTGGTAATGGCTCGAGGGCTCCGGAAATCGTAGAAGCAACCAATTTTTTTCGATTACGACCGGCAAATGACTAAAGAACTCTTGTTTGAGTTGATAGTTGAGCTCAAAAAGGCCGATTTTCCGGTAGTAGCGCTGGTATGTGACTTGGGTCCCACGAAACGTAATTTGTGGAAAGAGTTGGGCGTTTCCATAGGTAAGTTTTTAAAAGCAAATACAATGAAATAAAACATTATGAAATTTTGTATAAACTTTTTTGTGCAGGCGAATCATATTGACATTAAATGTATTGTCGATTTACAGTTTTACCAGGCTCACGGATTTTGTGGCATAATCTCATAAATATAAGTTTCGAATTCGATTTTAAAATTAAGCATTAATAATGCTTTGAGCTTCATAGATATAAGTTTCATACCAAATTTAAGTTTCTTTAAAATAGTTTTTTTTTTTGTATTTAGTTTCGCTATTAAGCTTTAAAATAATGATTCGTAATTAAACTTAAATTTAAATAATTTAAATGCCAATTTTAACCTATTGTTTCTTCAGACAGACCATGGTTTCCTAATCCCACAAATGCAGCTGATAAAGTTTTCACTTTTGCCGATGCCCCCACTTGTTAAAGCTAATAAGGAATCACTTGATAGATAGTGGATTAGTGGTTATTAACAGCTTTTGACGCCGCGGACAATAGCCGATGTTATTAATCACATATCTGCCTCTGATGTTTCTATAACATTTAAGCTAAGTGATTACCATCTGACTGTTAAAGGCGCAGGTAAATATAAATACGAACATTTATTATTAATTCATACCCATATTGTTAATTAACATTAATTAGAAAGGCAAAAGGTGAAACTAGCGGCTCAGTTATTTTCGAACACAATTGCTAACGCAATACGCCGGTGCTTCTCCCTTGGTCTAGATGTCTACCAAGCCACCGAGACAGCGGATTTTATTCAGCTTGTAAACAATTGGTTCGACATTCTTAATTCAACGTTACGTACTTTCGTTTATTCGGGCAAGGAACCATTTGGACATAATTTGGCAACACAAATAAAAAATTGGACGAAATGACCAAAATCATGGCTTCTCCAATAATACCAAATAAAATGTACTTGAACCTTTCCAAAGGGGCGTCGTCGTCACCAATAAAGTATTGATAATGCTTCATGAATATGTTGGCAATACATATGCACCAGCAGACTCAATCAAGACTTTTTGGAATACTTCTTTGGTGCCCTTCGTAGCAAAGGGGGCTTAAACGATCACCCGTCGCCAAAGGACTTTAAATATCGAATGAGAAAGTACATCTTAGGTATGTTTCAAACTGATTTTGTTTCATTATTATATTACATTATATTATATTTATTTTCTGTTATAACAATTATAGCTAGAAAATCCGAACACCTTAGTGGTACTGGTAACGTTGGCTACCACACCACCGAATGGCTCAGAACTTCAGATACCAATGTTTCTTTCATTGAAAATGAAACAAAACTTTCTAATGAGTCACTTGAATTAGAAGAAGAAATTGCAGAAGAACCCCTAACAAATGTATTTGACGACCTAGATGGATCGAATTTTGATGATATGGGTATTCTCCAAGTTGATGCTTTGGAATACATTGCTGGCTACATTATTCGAAAGCTTAAACTTAGAGAATATGAATCTCAAGAAAATTCGTACGTTTAGTGGATGTTTAAATTAAAATGTTTTTCTTTAAATGTCGGAATCCGAATAGAGAATATGAATCTCATCAAAATTCGTATACTTGGGTTGATCAAGTATCAAAGGGTATGCTGATTAAGCCATCTTCAGAGTTCCTCGAACAATTGAACAAACTGGAAGCAGTGTTTTACATTTTAAATGGCTTGGAAATATCGCAATGCGACAACATCCATCAACGTTTAGTCGAACGAAGTGACAACATTGACCATCCAGACGTTGTTAAATGTTTTTTCTTTAAATGTCGCATATACTTCAGAATCCGCCATTTGAATCAAAGACTCAAAAAACTAAAATGGAAACAGAGGAACATAAGTAAAAAGATGCTTAAAATCAAGCTTTAATAACACCAAGTAAGTCATTACCTTCATTTAAAAACATTTTTAAACTTAATACATATTCTTTCCTTTAATTCACAAGTTTATGCAGAATACCTTGCCCTTCTACACTTTACAAATTGCTCTACGTAATCTATCGCACACCCGGCACTGGTAAATTATAATTCATATTGCCAATATATTGAATTCCAGAGAGCCTAAGATTGTTAATGATCCAGTTGGTTGAAACTAAAGCCTATCTTCGTTTGGAAAATTTTTATTTTTTTAACATTTATAAAAAATTTTAATTTAAAAACAAATTTTGTTAAAATTTTTCAATGCAGAAAATTTTAATCCAAAAATTTTATTTTTATTAAAAAGATGCATATAATAAAATTTTTATAACTGCAAGTAAGTTATAACCTTTACTTAAAAAAATTCCTAAACTTAATACATATTCTTTCCTTTAAGCGTTTCACGCTTTTAAAACTTTTTGATCTTTCTTTCAATGTTTTTTAAATTATTGTATATTTTTTAATATTTTTCTTCCATTGTTGGAGAAATTTATTTCATTTTAGTTTCTACACAAAACAAAATACAACCCTGATCAGCTGCCGACGCGTCAAAATTTGAAAGGTGCTGAACTTTTCGCGGCAGACGCGTTACAAACTACAATGTGTAACTTGTTAAATGAAAATACACTATTTCAACTTTTTTGACAGAAGCCTATAACGCGTTGCCGCGTACCACGCGTGTTGTGTACTTCCACCTTTAAAGTAGACCTACTTTCTACTTTTGTAAGTGTCATAAGCGTTCTTTGTAAATAAAGCAAAAATTTGACGCTTAAGAAGCGTAGCATGTAACTTGATGCGTAGGATGCAAAGAATGTATGAAAAGCACGAAATGCTTTGCCGGACCTCCAGCTTAACAAAAACAAAATTTATCAAAAACTTGCAAAATTTTTCATATAAAAGAAAAATTTATAAAAAAACTTATTGCAAATTTACTATATAAAAACAATATTTATCGAAATTTTTTTAGTTAAGAAGAAAATGTATTGAATTTTAAAAAAATACTGTATCAAAAACAACACATGTCAACACTATAGCCTTCACATGCTAACTAATAAATGCAATTTAATTTTATTTGACATTTGGACCATTTTCATCCCAAAAGTCAATTTTAATTTTTTTGGTTTTTACTCCTTTTTGTATTTCAGTTGACGAAATAGTACTTGAAATAACTCCACAGAAGGTGTGGACATTGTTCGAATATAAAGACACACAGTGACTGTTGTATTTGTGTTTAAGGACGGACCTCAGACGATATAAACCATCTAAGCCACGAGAAGATAACAAACTCTGGCTGGCAAACTTTTTTTACTCGATTATGGGAGAGAGGGAGAAAATTACTCTTTTGTGCAGAAAATGAGTATTATTTGCAGAAATTGAGTTTTTTGTGCAGAAAATGAGTATTTTCTTTTCTTTGTAGACTGAATGTGCAGTGCTGCCAAATTCTTATATATTTAAATGCACTCATCAAGGATGGGAAGTGAATTAAATGAAAACAATTTCAAACAACAATATACGAAATTATTTTTGATATATTATAAAATAATTTATTAAAGGTATTTTAATTTTTTTGTTTTGGAATACGGTCGGTATTTATAAACTTTTTAAAACCATTCAAAACTTTTTATTTCTAAATGTATATCTACAAATTTAACAAAAATATTTAAATTTCTAGTACCCATATTTTCCAATTTATTTTAATGTTAAATTTCAATTGTTCCTCCAAAATTTTCAATTGAATTTTCCAATTTTCATAAATTTTTAATTTATTTCAATTTTAAATTAAAATTGTACTTTAGAAATATCTAATTTTATATCAAAATTTACTAATTGCATTTTAAAATTTTAACTAGAATTTCTAAAATGTATATAAATTCTAAATATATAGAAAATATTAATCTAAAATACAAATAGAAATTTCCGCAATACAAAAGGAAACTTCTAAAATACTTTTGAAAATTTTGGAATGTAAATATAAAATTCTCAAATGCAATAATTGTTTTTTTATAAAAATGTCTAAAAATATAAAAATATTTGAAATACAATTTGACTACAACGTTATAACAAAAAATCTACTTTTTAATTAAAAAACTAATATGCCCTATACACTAAGTAAAAGCTAGTAGTTTTTGGCTTTATTGAGTTTTTGTTTGAAAAACTACTAAAATTTATTTAGTTTTCCCATACAAATTCAAAATTTTGTCGAAAACTAATATGTAAAAGAAAACGTCTAAAAGTGAAAAACTACTTTTTGAATTTTTCATATTTTAACATTTTATATTTATAAATTTCATTTATTTCATATAAATAAATTAATAAAGAGTTTTAAAAGATTTTTACAACTCAATGTCTATCTTTTATTTTGGTGTGAATACAGTATAAAGAAAATGCGAATAATTTGAAAAAGTCGACTTTTTAGATTCAAACCAAGATAATTTAGGAAAAGCTTATCCAACCCTGTACTTAGCAAATGGCAACTTTTTAGTACAAAAAATGTCAACTTGGCACAACTACTGATCCAACTGATGAATTTACTTTAAGATTTTTTTATTGTAATTATTAAAAGAACGTGTTTGTTTCTTTTAGCTAATAGCTTGCTATTCCACCAGTGGTAAATCAGCTAAGGGTAAAATCAATGAAAGTGCCGCTGATGCAGTGCACGATTTACACGTGGTGCCTTTGAAGTCTCCCCAATTGGGTATACCCAATTGGGGAGACTTCAAAGGCACGTCAGATTTGACGGATAAATTCATCAAGTGTGATTGGTCAACTGTGATGGATATATCCATAAAGAATGATTAGTCAATCGTGACTAACATTTCCATCATCCTTGATTGGTAAAAAGCAAAAGAGTGAGCAGCTCAAATATATGTTTTAAAATCGGTAGAATTCATAAGTGCAAGGGAGATGCAAGATCACATGTACACAAAAGTTTCCATCAAATTTTTCATATTGCCCTTAAGAACTTGATAGAAACTTTGTTCTACGCAGTGATCGATATTTCCTTCACTAGTGTCAGTCAAATGACCGGTCAAATGACTGTCACTGTTCTTGTAGGGTAAGATGATTGTCTCGTATGTAGGTGAAAATGCTGAATTGGTCAACCAATATTTATCCCGTGAATTGGCTGTAGAATTGACACCACAAGGTACATTAGCTGAAAAAATTAGAGCCGCTGTTGCTGGTGTACCCGCCTTCTTTACACCCACCGGTTATGGTACTCTTATCCAAACAGGTGGAGCTCCAATTAAATACAGCAAAGATGGTAAAGTTGAAATTGCTAGCAAACCAAAACCAGTACAAGAATTTAATGGCAGAAACTATGTCATGGAGGAGGCTATGTTTGCTGATTTTGCTATTGTCAAGGCTCAAAAGGCTGATCCCTATGGCAATTTGGGTGAGTTTTATATAAAAGAGGAAAAATTTGATTTTGACACCGGTGTTTAGAGGGTTAATGATTTTAAATTTCGGAAATTTTATCAGAAATAATTTTTCATGGACTCGGAAATAATAATAGCAATTTAATTGATCAAAATTAAGCAACAATTGGTAATAATATAATTTTTACTTAATTATTGGCAAAAATTGCCTTTTTCCCGAAATCCTTCAAATTCACATCGCAGGTACGGTAAAACTATGAGAGGTATTAAGCTCATTCTTTCTGTGTTTAATTCTTATATATATCCTTTATAATATCCAGCATAAAAAACTTTAATTTTTAATAATCCATTTAACAAAATTTTTTAAAGTTTGAAAATGGAGTTTTGGAGATGCTGTTAAAATAATGGCCCTTTTTTGACCACAGACTAAACCGAGTAAGCGTTATCCAATTTGAATAAAAATTCGTACTAGCACATTTATGAACCTTATAAAGATAAACATAATATTTTTTTGTAAAATTTTTCAAAACTAACAAAAATTTTCTTATATTTACTTTTATATGTCTTCAGAATCACAAAATTCTCGGGTGAAATTTTAATAACTCAAAATTTGTTTAACGAATTTTGAGTTTTTCCATCTTTTTGGAAAGACAATTTTGTAGACATTACGATTTTGCTATAAAATGGTGCAATAATTAATACTTAAAGCCTCATTTTGTGAAAAAACTCCAAAAAGTGCCATTTTTCCCATATAAACGCATTTACAAACTTTGGCGGCGATGCGCGGGCTCTTACCCTCAAAATAATTGAATAATATTTTACAGTCTTCCATTTGACGTTAAAATACAACACAATTTCACTATTAGATGTTGATCCGAGCGAAAAGCCTATTTTCGACCCACCCTAATATACATACATACATACAATAACAAAATCTCACTAAAAAATTATCAAAATGCTTAAATATAAATCAATTTTTATTTAAAGAAAATATCTAAATTTATAAGTATAGTAATTTATAATTTTATAAATTTTAAATTAATTAACAATTTCTATTAGCAATAATTATCAATTACTTTATTTACTTTTGTCAACATTAAACACAAAAACATACAATATACTAAAACAAATTGCATACAATAACAAAGTCTTACTGAACAAACAACCCATCAAGTTTTATTGTTCAGTTGGCTTGATTTGTACTAACCAGTCAAACTATCAGTTTTTTTTACGTCCCTTAGTAAGAAAACGAAACCAAGAACTAAGCAATACGTAAGCAGCACACACAAATCTGTTTTTACTGTTCAGTCGTTGTGTTCAGTTCGGCTGAGTTGAAAAACTTAACATGGCCGCTGCTTGTGTGTTTGGCTGCTGAAGAAAAACAAAACCACTTGCAAGTTATTGCAGCAGTGCGTTGACACAGTTGACTGACTTCAGTTAGCTTGTGAGGGAAAAATAAATACTTGAACTTTCTTCAGTTCAGTCGACATTTAAAAAAATAAAACTAAAAACTAAATATTAAACCCTGTGTCAAAGTTCTTCATGTAAAATTTGAAGATTCTATATGTAATAGTTTCTCAGTGGTGGCTTCAAGCTCCCCAGATGAAAGCCCGCACTTTTTCCTCCAAATTGTTGAGATGAATATTAACGTAATTTGCGCAAAATTTTAAGAATCAAGTTCTATTAGTTTCCTAGATAAACGAGATTTAAATTTAATTCATATGGGAGGTGCCAAGTTCTCCATTGAAACTCCGCCCATTATACTCTAAATGTTCAGATGAATTTCAGATGTGAATTTGAAGATATACGAATTTTTCTAGTTAATTCATATGGGGGCTTGCCGCTCCCCTCATGCGTAGTCCGCCAATTTTTTACCCAAAATGTTGTTCCAAATGAAAAATTTCCCGACAAAATTTGAGGACACTAACTGTTATATGATCTGAAATATACGGATTTAATATTTTCTCAATATGGGCGTGGCCACTCGCCCACTTGGAATTTCAAAATAAAAAGTAGCCTATTACCTATTCCAGACATGCACGAATACGCTGTGAAAATTTGAAATTTTCCAAATGAAAAATTCTACTCCGGCATATTAATTTTACAAAACTTAAGTTTTTGCCCAAAATTATGTAAAATTAATAATATATATATATATATATATATATATATATATATATATATATATATATATATATATATATATATATATATATATTATTAATAATATATATATATTATACACATAAAAATACTTACATATGTGAAGATAATATACCCTGAGTGGAATAATGTTTGTTCCAAATGAAAAATTCTCCGGCATATTAATATTACAAAACTTAAGTTTTTGCCCAAAATTATGTAAAATTAATACTTTTGTGAAAAATAAACATGAAAATTTAGAACTTTATGGAAAAATATATACCGAATGAAAGAATCTTTGTTGTGAATGGAAAATTTTACTTCGGCGGAGTAATTTTTAAGATTTACACGTTGTCAGCTGCCGCCGGACGGATAAATACCTCATATCGGTTTTGTTATAAAATGCGTTCCGGAACAGAATTTTGTTAGTTAATCACATTATATACACAGTGTAAATATAAAACAATTTATTAATTTTTCTTTCAGATCTCAAAATTTTACCATAATCTAGAAGACAGCTGCCGCCGGTCGGGTAAATATCTCATATTGGTTTTGTATATAAAGTGTTCCAGATTTTTTTTATTAATCGCGTTATCTACAAAGTGTAAATATAAAATATAAAACAATATTGTTTAATTTGTTAACAATTAATAGAAAATATATTGTTATATTAAGTTGGTACATGCGTACCAATTATTCATTAATTATATAAGATTTTCAGATTTTTTACATAAATTATTTCCGTTTATCTGAATTCGCCGACGACACTACTTTATAATTAATATATCTTGGTGGGTATAAAAAAACTATGCTTGTTTAACTAAATGGCTGAAATGAAACTAATGGGAACCATATTGGTAACCGAGGTTTCTCTATCCGAAGGAACAAAAATGTTGGCCCCTTTTATTTAATTTGTCTCAAGAAGTTTGATTTATTTTCGTTCATTTATTATATATTATATTATGAGAAGGGTATATATAAGTTTGTCATTCCGTTTGTAATTTTTATAATATAATTTTCCGACCCCATAAAGTATATATATTCTGGATCCTTATAGGTAGCGAAGTTGATTAAGCTATGTCCGTCTGTCTGTCTGTCTGTGTGTTTGTTGAAATCAGTTTTTAGAGGACCGCAGATAACGGCGAGATTCAAATCTTCAATAATTCTGTTAGACATGCTTTCGTGAAAATCGCTATTTAAAATCAGCAAAATCGGTCCATAAATACCGGAGATATGAGCAAAAATCCGAGACAACCTCTGAAAATTTCATAAAAAAGACAATTTTTTCATGCTTTGATATAAGCAACAACAACAACAACACTGCTTATTCATTGAGTATTTCGTTTCATATGTTTGGATGGCTGTGTGTTTCATTGCCTTGTATATATTGTTTTTGTTTCTTGGTGCATTCAGTTTCGTATGTTGGGATGTCTGTTGTTTTCTTTGCGTTGTGTATTTTATTTTTGCTTTTTTGTGAGTATTTCGTTTCGTATGTTTCATTGCCTTGTGTATATTGTTTTATGTTTGGATGTCTGTTGGTTTCATTGCGTTGTGTATTTTGTTTCTGTTTTTTTGTGTATTTCTTTTCGTATGTTTGGATGTCTGTTGGTTTTACTGCCTTGTGTATTTTGTTTTTTTGTGTGTTTATTTCGTTTAGCGTTGTTGTTGTTCGTTTTGCTATTGCTATAATCAATATATATAAAAGAGTAGCGTCACAAAGTATACAGAGGTGTCACTTTTGACATTTAAAAAAGTCTAAAATCAGCTTTTGTTTGATTTTGAAATTGTTTGGTGAGAAGAGGTATATAAAATACAGCTAAAAAAATTATTGAATTCGTTTTGTGCGAAAGAGAGGGAAATAGTTTTTTGCTCGTGACGCCTCTGTATACCCTGTGATATAATATTCTACAGATCCTTTCAATAGATTAATAGTAATATCCAGATTATTTGTATATAGAGCTGATGCGATTGTCTTCCATGAGAACAACTTCACTTGTGGTGAGTGAGAAATTATTTGCTGTGTTTACTAAATGCAGCTACGTGGACATTTTCGAATCATAAAAACATAAATAATTCATATTGTCTGAGGTATTGCATAAAGTATTAAAAAGTTCTTCATCAGATTTAGCCAAACTTTCGAAAATATGTGATACATATACATATGATGTAAAATTAAATTCTCACATTAAATGTATATTTGGGGTTGTAATAGATTCCAATAATTACATTTGAAAACTTCAAATAACATGATCAGGTTTAATAAAATCTAGTACTAATAGTTTTATGTTCGATCTACGATCTACAAAATGTATTTTTAGAAATATATTTAAAGTTGGTTGAGTTTAATTCATTGTCCTCCACACATCCAGCATAAATTGCCAAGCACCAATAGTATAGTGCCCGAAATGATGACATTTCCAGGACAATGTAATGAATCAGAATCCTTCGGCCGGAAAAACATTTTTGCTGTCACATTTTTATTTATTTCATTTTTATTCCATCTTAAACTAACTAATAAAATATCTTTTACTAAAATATAATTTTTTTGTGTTGAAAATTTTTGTAAACAAAAATTATATGATTTTGACAGCAAAGACCTTAAACCAAAAACAAAATTGCTTGTGGTTTTTGCAAATGTTGTATTTGTTGTAGAACTGTCGCTACTTTATTAATTTACTTTCGTAACATCTTAATTTTAAGGGTTGTATTCAATAGTATGATCTTTTATCCTTTCTTAAGCTATCCAGTAGATGGCCCAACTTATCTTATACGTGAATTTAAATAATACGTTAAATCAAACTTAACTTGCTTTAATTTAGTCAGAAACTTCAAACGAGGTGATTTTAATAACAACAAGTAAGAGTGCTATATTCGGCTGTGCGAATTTATATACCCTTCACCACAGTGTATTTAAAAAATTTCAATTTTATAAAATTTAAATTTATTTCATTTCCCGACTAGAAATAAATACACAAAAAAACAAAATATGTACACAAGGCAGTAAAACCAACAGGCATCCAAACATACGAAACGAAATACACAAAAAACAATATACACAAGACAATGAAACACACAGCCATCCAAAGTTTGAATTCCAAACATATGAAACGAAATACTCAAAAAAAAATACACAACGCAATGAATAAGCAGTGTTGTTGTTGCTGCTTTTTATCAAAGCATGAAAAAAAAATATTTTTTTATGAAATTTTCAGAGGTTGTCTCCGATTTTTGCTCATATCTCCGTTATTTATGGACCGATATTAAATAGCTTTCGGGAAGAAAGCATGCCTTACAGAATTATTGAAGATTCGGATCTCGCGATATCTGGGGTCCTCTAAAATCTGATTTCAACAAACATACAGGAGAGACAGACAGACGGACATGGTTTAATCGACTCTGGAATGACAAACTTACATATACCCTTCTCACGAAGGTGGAGGGTATAAAAATAATATTAAACAATAATAAAATAAAGTAACATTCATTGTTATATCATGAATAAAAATGAATTAAAATGTAATATAAAAACGAAAGACGACTTTTATTCCTTACATTCCCTCCTTCACTTCCATACACGTCTTCTCAAATTGTAATAACGCTATTGATCTTCGGATGCTCTAGCCATATTTCTTCTTACAATTTCAAAAACTCTTTCAATTCACCATGGCGTTCTTTTGGACTCAATCTGGTTGCAGCTGTGCCAATCGTGACTTCGTCATATGTTTTAGGTAACCTTGGTATAGTATCCTTGGGTGATAAATGCTGGTGAATAACCGGTGGTGTCTGATACACTTGTGTTCATGGCTAGCATTATTTCTGGTAAAAGTTCATCCTATCTACTGTGTTTTTCACTCGAGAACTGAGCAATCATTGTTTTTATAGTACGATTGGCTCGTTCTGTTGGGTTCTCCTGAGGAGTATATGGTGCTGAAAACTGTTGTTGAATTCCTACTTCATTTAATAAATGTTTTAAAATTCTGGAGGTAAACTGGGTGGGACACCATATCTTGCAAGTATCCGTTCACGAAATGCTTTAGTGACTCCTTCCGCTGTGGCCTTTTTCATTGGCACTAACTCTGTCCACTTAGAGAATTTATCGAAGAATACTAGTAACATTGTGTTGCCGTGTTTAGTTCGTGGTAATGGACCTACGAAATCTGCGCAAATGACAGACCAAGGTTCGTGTGGTATTTTGGTTAACATTTCTTCGGCCGGCTTCAGTTGATTTAGTTTATACCTTAGGCAGAACTGACAACGACAGCTTGAGCAGCGACTGGCAATGCGATTAATTTTTTTCTTTATCCCCAAATGTCCACCAGCAGCACTATCATGATTTTCTTCTAATATGCGTGTTCTGCAGGATGTTTGTACACATAACTTCCATGGATTGCCTTCGGAATTTGGTGTACTTCGTTGAATCGGATATTTTGCTGAGTTTTGTTTTATCTTGTTGATTTTGGGACCAATTAAACTCCGGGTTTTTTATTGTGTACAGTTTGCTATGTTGGCAGTTTCTATGGGGTGACGCGATAACGCATTGCGACGACGTTATGTTTTTATTTACGATATTGTATCGAGAAACTAAATTGTTGTAACTCGAGTGCCCATCGTCCTAATCTTCCTGTAGGACTTTCAATCGAATTAAGCCATTTGAGCGCCAGGTGGTCTGTAATTACAATAAATTTATATCCTTCAAGGTAAGCTCGCATTTTTCTTATGCCCCAAATGATGGCCAAACATTCCTTTTCCGTTGTTAAATAATTTTTTTCTGCTGCATTTAGATGATGACTAGCATAAGCTATTACACGTTCTTCTCCGTGGACTTCTTGAGTTAGCATTACACCTAGGCCATAATCACTCGCATCGGTTCGTAAACTAAAAGTTTTAGCAAAATCTGGACACCTTAAAACTGGTGCTTCAGTAAGTTTGGTTTTAAGTAATTCAAAAGACTGTTGCTGTTCTGATTTCCACTTCCAGTGTTTTTCTTTCTTAAGCAACACGATTGCTTTTAGGTTTAGATATTTTTGAAAAATCTTGAACAAATCTTCTGCACCACGAAGCTACTCCTAAAAATCGTCTCACATCTCGAATGTTCTTTGGTGTTGGTATTTGAACAATTACAGCTACTTTATCGGGATCAGTTTTTATTCCATCTATGCTCACAACATGTCCTAAATATTTTGCTTCACGTTAAAAAAATTTGCATTTATCCACATTTATTTTAAGGTTTCCTTTCCTTAATCTACAGAAAATTTCTCTTAAGTTTTGTAGATGCTCTGAAAGGGAAACATAGCATAAAAACGAGTTCTCATAATGCTATGTTTCCATTGGCTTCAAATCTACCAGATTTGCGTAAACCTCTTCGAGGTGTTTCCACTGAGCTTACTCGTTTTTGAGATTCGAATTTTCGAACAAATAATTTTTTTTTTTTTTTTAATTTAAACATTAAAAATACAAACTTTCGGTTTTAATTGTATAAATTTATTTATTAAATGCCAACAATTTTAAAATTATTATTTGTTCCTTTTTATTTTGAAATAATACGTCACTTTTTCGATGAAAACATTCAATTTGAATGGATAGCTTATTTTGCTTAAGGCGGTATTAGACCACATGTATTTTACATATGTACTGTCAAAATTTCCATCTGTAAAAGTTGTACATATAGTCTGATACATATGAAACATTGCATATGTAAAATACATGTGGAAATACATATGT